GAATATCCACGTCTAGATGGTGCGTCATGAGGACTTGATCTTTCCTTAAACATAATAATGTTTTCTTTTATTCACCTGATTTCTTAGTGTATTTTTCATGCAGGACAGTTTCTCAACCTTGATGTACAGTGACTGTAAAACTTTTCTTTTAGTGGCAATGTATAATCTTTAAGATATGGAAAGCATCTTGTCTGTTTTGAAGGGGATATGACAATACACCTACTGGATGGAAGATCCTATTAAAAAGTAGAAAAAAGCTTTAGTAATTACGCAATGTGATGGTTTTTACCCTGTTTTTCTTTTTTCTCCCTTGGTCTATAATGAAATTGTTATAGCAGTGCAAAATAAAAATCCTATGTATAAAAACAAAAAAAAAACAATGTTAAAAAAAAGACTCCAGTCTATATTATGCCTTAAAATATCCTACATTCTTCCTTCCTAGTAAGGATTTTGAGAAATAATAAATACCAATTTGCTATTTAAAATAAAAGTGTGCGGTATCAGATGACTATTCTTGAACGAGACATGCTAATTGTTAAATGAGTATAATAAGCAATATCTGCAACTCAAATATCAAATTATCTCAGATACAAGTCCAATAATTAATTTTAATGTTTCTTTCCAATTAATTACAATTTCTGTAGTGGAAAATTATTTGAAATCAGTAATGAAACATATGAAGAGACCGCACTGAAGAATTTGTTTTTTAAAAATGAATCCAGTTCCTTCTTTTCTGACCTTGTAGACTTTTGATCTGGATAAAATACAGTGCTAACTACAGAGAAATTCTCAACCTACTTAGTTTTTTTACATGTCAAGCCTTAAAATATATTTCATGAGAGTCCTCAATTAATCAATAGTCAATCTTTATTGAAACTCTCCTATGAATCAGCTATAAATACTGAGGATTCCATAGTGGAAACAATAAAGTTCTTGACTTTAAGGAAATCTCACTGTACAGTGGAAAAACAGGCAACAAATCAACATACAAATAGAAAGGGCAATGTTAAAGATAATAAACAGGAGAGCTGCTCAAAAGCAGCTATAATAAAGCCAGGCATGGCGGCACACACCTGTAATCAAAGCATTCAGAATGCTGAGGCAAGAGCTTCCTATGAGTTTGAGGGCAACCTGGGTTACATAGAGAGTTCAAGAGCACCCTGGGATAGACCATCTCAAAAATAAAATAAAAAGTAGCCATGATGAAAAAACACCTGGATAAGTGAAAAAAAATAGCATAAAGAGAGGAGAAGCAATTCTAAGAAAGATTTAAGTGTGTATGCTTACA